GGGCTGCCCTGAGAGGTGTTCCGCTGGAAGCAATATGTGCTGCTGCATCATGGGCTTCCCCAAGCACGTTCACCAGATTTTATAGAGTTAACGTTTCCACCCCTCATCCCCTGGGCCAGGTTCTTCTACAAGGGTCCTCTGGGCCTCCTCAGTGAGGTGGGTGTTTAGGATTCCTTGTGACATTGTTGGTATTAGTCATTCGGTGCTTTCAGCACCACCCTCTGGCAGTCAGGAGGGATGAAATAGAATGAAAGTTACGTATGTAACTACGGTTCTATGAATCCCAGATGACCGCCAGAGCTTCTGTCACTCAGAATCCTTGCGTTCCACGAGAAGATTCTGTTGGCGGCAGCTTGAGGGAGGACGTTAACAGCCACGATAAACACTGCTGTGAACTCCCACAGCAGATTGTTTTGATTATATTCAGTTTTATACAAGCCAAGTCACAACAGACGTCCTCTCAGGGCACTGAACAGAAACATCCATATATGTATACAAATTTAAAAAGTAAGAACATTATCTGAGGAGCAGACTGCTTTAAGTGTAACTTCATTACAGACTCATCTTGAGCAAGCATGAAGGCAACAGTGGAAAGGAAAAAGTCCCTCATAAGGAAGAAACCTCCAGCAGAACCAGGCTCAGAAAAAGCGGCCATCTGTTTCAAATGGCTGTTGTGTGGCAATTGTTTCACAACTAAATGTTTCACAACCTCAGAGCAGTTTGTGCAATAACCTTTGTTTACTTAGATGCAGAGTCCCCACCTCTGGTTTTCCCAGAAAGCTGCCTCTGTCCAAATGGAACAGCAGCAGCTCAAGCTCGAAGACAGAGTCTGCCAAGTTGTTGAGCCATGTCTCCATCAAGTCAAAAACACTGCAGCTGGAAATTTCCTGTTGGCATGATCTCAGACGTAAAAAAGGTCCATTTATTATCCAGAGCCTAGATAGTGGATATAAAGTGATGGAACTGCTGGCCTGCTAGCATTCGTCCTTAGCCTGGTTCACAGTCCAGCCCTCTTTACTACACTTCTGCCTCTGTTTGCATCACCTCCTCTTGGCTCTGTGTCGTACTTTAAGATGCACTGTCTGCAAAGTTTTGCTTTTGGTTTAATGTGAGAACAGTAAAATGTTTATAATATTTTTGCCCAACTATCCTTTGTTTTAACATTAAATCGACTAACACAGAGAGCTAGAGAAGCCACTGTATTATTGCGTGCTGCCATGTTATCAGCCATCATACATTACTACGTAGTGTCTTTGAGGACTTATGTTGACATAAGTAAATTATATCCAACATGAATACACTGGGGGAAAAAAAGAAAATCATTGACACTTCTTTGGACCTATAATACATTGCTAATGAGCTGAACAAAGTTATAACCTATGAGTAACTTATCCATAACTTTTCTCTATCTTATACTTACACAAGCTTGTGAGAGCATTTTTTTTAACTTATGCAGAGTTTATGACCAACGTTAGTGTAACTTATGCCAGTCTTGTACATGGTATATTTGAGCATATTGTGATGAGGGGGCTGCCACACAGTGATGTATAGCATCACTGTATGAATAAAATGCTAAAAACGCTGATGTAAGTCATGTTAGACGTACGTCTTGACTAACTTAGCACTTTGAAATATGTTTACAAACTTGTTTTACACTAATGCAAGCAAAATATTTTGTACATGCACAAAATTTTCAGCTTATATGTTGCTCTGAAGGTATTCAGCAGGTAAGTTGTGCATAATTTCACATGTATGTGAATTACTCAAGTTGACATACGTCAGGAACCAGTCAGGAATTCTATAGTGTATACTTATCTTTTCTAATCTTTAAGCACTGACTTACACAAAGCAATGTTAGTGCACTAAATTTCCTTTTTTTTTTTTTTTTTGCACAGCTTGTTTGAGCATATGACAATCGTATGATTTGGGACAAAAAGGGCAACTCTCTGCACCTTCACTCAGTAATTTTGCATTGATCAACATACCTCAGCAGAGAAACAAATCTGATCAAAGAAGCTGTAGCACGGTCCTCCATCTGTGGCGATAGCTGTGGACCTCTGTACCTTGATCCAGCAGGAGTGATGAGTTGATAATTTCTACCCTATATATAGATGAACCCCCAAAACACTGGCAATTATGCTATTTGTAAGTTATAAAAACATGTTCAGTAAGTTCATGGGTCATCAGCTATATGTTGAATATATAAATATACTGTAGTGCCCCTCCCCTCAGCATGCAAGGAAGGTGAGCTACAGCTGACTTAACTATGAGCATTTAATAAAAAGGTTGAACAAATTTAAGTATACCAAGTTTAAATTATTTGAAGGCAGAAATAAGCAACAAAGAAAATTGAAAAAAAATCTAAATTAGAAAAAAAAAAGTAGCTAAAGGCAGGGGGGGGGGGTTATTTTCCAAATGAAGCTGAACAAAAAAAGCTGAAATTAGCAGAAAGTAGCTGAAGAACTGGAATTTGCAAAAGATTAGAGTTGAACCAAAACAAAGCTAAAATGAGCTGTTAAAGGTTTTAAACAGCACAAAGATTTTGAAGATTATGAAGAGAGCTTTATACATTTTCAAAAAGAAAAGTGGCCAAAGAAGATAAATATTTCAAAATGTAAAAGTTACACAAATACTAAAAGTCATCAGGAATGTCCTGACAGAGCTGAACCTTTTGATACAAGAATAGTTCAAATGGCACAAAAAATGTGGAATGAGTTACGTGCTGAAAAGTGTATGGTAGAGAAACAGTTTGTGTAAATTATCAGCACAGTAATCATTGTTATTACTGGAAATTTTTACACAAATCAAATGTTTTCAGTCATTACTAGGTAGTCTTAATATGACAACCCAAGCTTAGCAGATATTCAAGGTTGGAGACCACATCGACTAAAAAGGCAAGGGAGGGAACTGGGGACGGAGAATAAGATGTTGCGGTTCTCCTTTGGAGTGACAAGGATGGATAAGATTAGGAATGAGATCATCAGAGGTAGAGCACAGGTTAAACAACTGGGAGATAAAGTTAGAGAGGCCAGACTGAGATGGATTGGACATGTCCAGAGGAGGGACAGTTGTATGGACATGTCCAGAGGAGGGACAGTGGGTACATTGGTAAAAGAGTATTAGAAATATCCTGATGCATGCTCAATAATCCAGGTAGAAAAATCCAAAAAAGTTCAATCTGGTCCTCTGGACATTAAAAAAAAAACAAAAGCAAAACAAAGCAAAAGAAATCTAGAAACGTTTCGTCTCTCATCCAAGAGACTTCCTCAGTCTGAGGTGCTGTTTTCAGCTCAGTCTCTTAAATAGCACCTTCTTAGAGTGGATCAACCAGTTTGCTGCTGACAACCAAAACCAGCTGATCACATGCTCAAGAAGGACCAGAAGTCACAGAGCAGACAGCATCCCCACTAGCTCAGGAGCCAGGCAGAAGGAGAAATCCTACACAAAACAGGCTCTAGAGCAATGTGGATATCCTAACTGGGCCTTCCTGAAAGCAGAGAAGAAACCCAAACAGGACTCCAGTCAGCCATCAGGTGAAAAGGAGGAACCCAGACCCAGACCAGTGGTCATTCCATATGTTGAGGGGGTATCAGAGAAACTGAGACGTTTATTTTCTAAACATAACGTCCCAGTGGCTTTTAAACCCCAAAATACATTACGGCAAAGACTGGTTCATCCCAAAGATCCAGTCCCCCGGCACAAACAGAGCAATGTTGTATATGCTGTTCAGTGTCAGGAGGGCTGCGATCAGTCTTACATCGGGGAAACTAAACAGCCACTGGCCAAAAGGATGGCCCAGCACAGAAGATCAACATCATCAGGCCAGGATTCTGCGGTCTACACTCATCTCCAGGCCAGCGGTCACTCTTTCAAGGATAAAGATGTTCACATCCTGGACAGAGAGGAACGATGGTTTGAGAGAGGAGTAAAGGAGGCCATCTTTGTGAAAAGAAATCGACCATCATTAAACAGGGGTGGAGGCCTCCGGGTTCAACTGTCCCCCTCTTACAATGCTGTGATTGCTAGTATCACTCAGCCTCCTGTGAGTAGTAAACAGCCATCAGTGTGCTAATGACCCATTGTTAGGCTGATGGTCCTTCTTGAGCATGTGATCAGCTGGTTTTGGTTGTCAGCAGCAAACTGGTTGATCCACTCTGAGAAGGTGCTATTTAAGAGACTGAGCTGAAAACAACACCTCAGACTGAGGAAGTGTCTTGGATGAGAGGCGAAACGTTTCTAGATTTCTTTTGCTTTGTTTTGCTTTTTTTTTTTTAATGTCCAGAGGACCAGATTGAACTTTTTTGGAGTATTAGAAATACTTCTATAGAAAAAATATAGAGGAAGGCTAAATGAGGAAATATTTAGAGGATTTATTTAGATGCAGTTAGAGAGGACATGGAGGTAGTTTGAGTGAGGACAGAGATGCAGAGGACAGAGTGAGATGGAGGATGACTTGCTGATTTGCTATGAAAAAGAAAAAAAAGAAAGAAAAGACAAAGCTAAGAGTGTGTGGACATGAGAAAGGACTGTACCTCAAAAACATGCACATTTCGACCGTCTTCAGGCCCAGGCCTCCATAAAAAGAGATCCATTTTCCCCCAAAGGTGATCAAAAATATATATATTTTTTGGTTTTTAAAGAAAAATCTCAGCAATGCTGTGAATTTTACAAATTTATTCCATTTTCATTTTATTAACTTTACAAAAAATGCATATTTAAAGTTGTCACTGTCAAATACTGACATTACCAAACATCCAAAATTGCTTTCCTTTAAATGACTGATCAAGCCATAAAGGATAAAATTACAGGATATCAAATTTGTGTTGCATTGCAACACATTTTTAAAATAAGATTTAAAGATTAGCATTAAAACATGCACCAAATGAGTCAAACTGACACCAGGTCAGTCTAAAGAAATAAAACGGTAAAAAAAGGTGATTTTTTGATCACCTTAGACGTTAAAAAAATAATTTTATAAATATAAAATGTATAAATTCACATCAAGCAGCAGAATCAACAACATTGAGATTTACATTAACGACATTGATCTGAGTATGCATCTCCTGAAGTCTTCGTTTTTGGACACTGTGACGAATTCCATAGCCAAAGTATATGACCAGTCCTGTGGAATGAGGCGATAGACCATTTACTGTGCCAATCACTTCAAATCCATTCATAATTATTGAATTTATAGACGATCAGCAACCATTATGCAAGTGTTATGTTAGCTGGTTATTACTTACCAACTGCCATCCAAACAGAATAACTGATCCATGTTGTGGAACCCAGTTGAACCATCAGGTACGTGTTAATGAAGACACTTAATACTGGAACCACAGGTACACCAGGGACCTACAGAGACATTTAAACTTCACACATTTTGTATCTTCAGCTGATTATCGATATGCATGCCTAGAACCGACCCGACTGTCCGTAAAAAAACAGCCTGGTACTAAGAACAGTTAAAACATACTACCTTGGTCAAAGGTTAATGACTGAGCTCAGACTACAACCTGGGGTGGGAAAAGAACTGATGAATGGTCCTAGAAAATCCAATAAAGTGTAGCCAACATTCTAAAGGAGGCCTTTAAGACTTTGTTGTCACTTCCATGGGCTGCCACCTTACCATGATGGAGGGGTTTGAGTGTCCCATTGATCCTAGGAGACATGCCGTCAGAGGCTTCATGCCCATAATAGGGTCATCCAAGACAAACGGGTCCTAGAGGAGGGACCAGACAATGTACAGCCCAAAGACACCTTATGATGAATAAAATAAATGGAAGCAATATCCTGATGCATGCACAATAATCCATGCAGAAAAATCTATTAAAAAAAAAAGTTAAGTCTGGTCCTCTGGACATACAAAAAAAAAAAAAAAAAAGAGCAAAACAAAACAAAGTAGAAAAGTTTCGTCTTTCATCTGAAAGACTTCTTCAGTCTTCAAGACTGGCAATGTTCCCTCGCCTGGACGTGGGTCACCGGGGCACCACTCTGGAGTTGGAACTGGAGGTGGGGCACGCTGGTGAAAGCCTGGTGGCTGGGCTTTCACCTATGGAGCCCAGATGGGCACAGCCCAAAGAGGAGATGTGGGTCCCCCCTCCCATGGGCTCACCACCTGTGGGAGGGGCCAAAGGGTTCAGGTGCAATGTGGGATGGGTGGTGGCCCAGGGCTGGGACCTTGGTGGTTTGATCCTCAGCTGTACAAGCTGGCTCTCGGGACGTGGAATGTCACCTGTCTTGTGGGGAAGGAGCCTGAGCTGGTGTGCAAGGTTGAGAGGTTCCAGCTAGAAATAGTCGGGCTCACCTTGACGTACGATTTTGGCTCTGTAACCAGTTTCCTTCAGAGGGGTTGTAGACTTCCACTATGGAGTTGCCCCTGGTGGGAGGTGCCAAGCAGGAGTGGGCATACTTCTTGCCCCCCATCTTTGTGCCAGTACATTGGGGTTCACCCCAGAGAACAAGAGGGTAGCCTCCCTCCGCCTATGTGTGGGGGGATGGGTTCTGACTGTTAGTGCGTATGTGCCAACAGAAGTTGAGATTACCCACCTTTTTGGAGTCCTTGGAGGAGGTACTGGAGCGTGCCCCTCCTGGGGACTCCCTTGTTCTGCTGGGGGACTTCAACACTCACATGGGCACTGACAGTGAGACCTGGAGGGGTGTGGTTGGGAGGAATGGCCCCCTAATCTGAACCAGAGTGGTGTTCCATTATTGGATTAATGTTCTCATCATGGATTGTCCATAACGAACACCATGTTCAAGCATAAGGGTGCCCATATGCGCTTTTGGTACCAGGACACCCTAGGCCACAGTTGGATGATACTTTTTTGTTGTCTCATCTGATCTGCGGCCGCATGTCTTGGACACTTTGTTGAAGAGAGGAGCGGAGCTGTCTACTGACCACTACCTGGTAGTGAGTTGCCTCATATGGTGGGGGAGGATGCCAGTCAGACCTGGCAGGCCCACGTGTATTGTGAGGGTCTGCTGGAATCATCTGACAGAGTCTCCTGTAAGACGGCACTTTAACTCCTACCTCTGGGCAAACTTCGAACACGTTCTGGTGGAGGTGGGGGACATTCCGTCTGAGTGAGTCTGAGTGGGCCATGTTCCATGCCTCTATTGTCAAGGCAGCTTATCGGAGCTGTGGCCGCAAGGTTGTCGGTGCCTGTCGCAGCAGCAACCCTCAAATCCGGTGGTGGACACCGGCGGTGAGGGATGCTGTCAGACCAAAGGAGTCCCATATGGCCTTTTTGGCCTGTGGGTCCCCGGAAGCAGCTGATGGGTCCCGGCAATCCAAGTGGCATGAGGCTTGTGCGGTCAGTGAGGTAAAAACCCAGATGTGGGAGGAGTTCGGAGAGGCCATGGAGAATGACTTCCGTATAGCTTTGAGGTGATTCTGGTCCACCGCCCGGTGTCTCGGGGGGGAAAGCGGTATGCCACCAACACTATTTATAGTGGAGGTGGTGTGCTGCTGACCTCAACTCGGGATGTCGTGGGTCGGTGGGCAGAATACTTCGAAGACCTCCTCAATCCCACCGGCATGTCTTCCACTGAGGAAGCGGACCCTGGGTACTTTGTGTCGGGCTCTCCAATCTCTAGTGCTGAGGTCACTGAGGTGGTTAAAAAGTTCCTTGGTGGCAGGGCCCCAAGGGTGGATTAGATTCGCCCGGAGTTCCTTAAGGCTCTGGATGTTGTGGGGTTGTGTTGGATTACACAACTCTGCAATATTGTGTGGACATCAGGGGCAGTTCCCCTGGATTGGCATACTGGGGTGGTGGTCCCCCTACTCAAAAAGGGGGACCGTAGAATGTGTTCCATCTACAAGGGGATCACGCTCTTAAGCCTCCCTGTTAAGGTCTATTAGGGGGTTCTGGAGAGGAAGGTCCATCTGATAGTCGAACCTCAGATTCAGGAGGAGCAGTGAGGTTTTCATCCTGGTCGTGGAACACTGGACCAGCTCTACACCCTCAGCAGGGTCCTGGAGGGTGCGTGGGAGTTTGCCCAACCAGTCTACATGTGCTTTGAGGACTTGGAGAAAGCGTTCGACTGCATCCCTTGGGGAGCCCTGTGGGGGTACTCCGGGAGTATGGGATAGCAGGCCCTTTGATACAGGTTGTTAGGCCCCTGTATGACTGGTGTCAAAGCTTGGTTCGCATTGCTGGCAGTAAGTCGGGCTCGTTCCCCGTGAGAGTTGGACTCCGCCAAGGTTGCCCTTTGTCTCCTATTCTGTTCATAACTTTTGTGGACAGAATTTCTAGGCGCAGCCAAGGTGTTGAGAGCCGTTTTGGTGGCCTTAGAATCGTGTCTCTGCTTTTTGTAAATTATGTGGTCCTATTGGCTTCATCAGGTCATGATCTACAGCTTTTGCTGGAGCGGTTCGCAGCAGAGTGTGACAGCCAGGATGAGGATCAGTTCCTCCAAATCCAAGTCCATGGTCTTGAGCTGGAAAGGGTAGAGTGCCTTCTCCGGGTCAGGGAAGAGGTCATGCCCCAAGTGGAGGAGTTTAAATATCGTGGGGTCTTGTTCATGAATGAGGGGAAAATGGAGTGAAAGATCGATAGGTGGATAGGTGCGGCATATGCAGTGAAGCAGGCATGGTACCGGTCTGTCGTGGTGAATAGAGAGCCGAGTCAAAAGGCTTCTCCATGTCAAGAGGAGTCAGTTGAGGTGGCTCGGGTATCTGGGAAGAGACTGTTTCTTGTCTGGACTGGGAATGCCTTGGGATTCCCCTGGAAGAGCTGGCCCAAGTGGCTGGAGAGAGGAGAGTCTGGGCCTCCCTACCTAGGCTGCTACCCCCCGCAACCCTGAACCCGGATAAGCAGAAGAAAGTTGATGGATATCCTTGAAGACATCTGATGCAGTAGACAGGTGATGCAGGTCCAAAAATGATTGCAGTTTTTGCTTTTGCAACCCAGTCCAAAATAAATGTATATTGTACAGGGTTGGGTTCATATAGCAGGGGTGTAAAGCTCCAGGCCTCGACGGCCGGAGTCCTGCAACTTTTAGATGCATCTCTGACGCCACACAGCTGAATCAAATAAGGTTATTAGCAGGACTTTGGAGAACTTGATTGCACTGAGAAGCTCATTCAGTCATATGATTCAGCTGTGTGGCATCAGAGACACATCTAAAAGTTGCAGGACTCCAGCCCTCGAGGCCTGGAGTTTGACACCTGTGCCATGTGTGTCAAACTCCCGGGCCTGGGGGCCAAATGTGGCCCTCATAGACATCTAATCTGGCCCCCAAGATGATGTGTGAAATGTAAAATACTTCCATCTCTGGATTTTTTTCAATAATCTTTGATTATGATGTCAAAAGCGCAACAGAGAACATCAAATGAGACCAATTAAACTCTTGTTGTGGAACCGGTGACCAAGAAAAGATGTTGGTGATCTGATTTGAGTCAATGTAGTTTTTGAAATTGGCTTTTAGTTTAATAAAGTTTGTAATTTTGGCCCCTTTTTGTAAGTGAGTTTGACACCCTTGATTTAGATGTTCATTTCAGTCTTTGTATAGATATCAACTATACCTTGAGCATTTTTTTTTTCTTTTTTACTATGGTACTGTAATTATTTCAACCCAGAATTTGCAGTACAGTAGTCGTGAGTTTATGTTTTATGGCTCGCTAATGCATTAGCGTTCATTAGCACAGTGAATGGACATGGAGTACTGTGTGGCTAACCCAGCTAACACGAAGAAAAAGTTTCTAGCATGGAAGCTCCTCAAGTACTGTACAAATAGATAAGCTTATACCAAGAGTTTTACATGACTGAGCTGGAGCACTGCATCTTCACAGTTTCTGCTGTCTCCGTTTCTGGTGGACCGAGAGGCAGGTAATGGAGCTGAGAACATCCCGCACCATCTTTCCTTTAACTGGGACTGACAAAATAAGTTCTAGAGGATCTAGACCTTGGAGTAAGGTACCACATTCCCTCCACTCTTCAGCATCACATCAGGCCTGCAACAGGGTTTTTATTTTGTTTCAACAAATTTAATTTAACTATATGCCGGCTTAGGTGTATGTTAAGAGTGTGGGCCCACTTGATTTTGTGTAAACTTTAATAATCAGAAAGACTTTATTACGACTGAAATGTTTTGGAACAACTGTGAATGCTTAGTTTTTGTGTTTGAATTTAATGTAAATTCATAGTGTTCAAACTTTAATCCTGAGTTATTGGTTATTTCTAAGCATAAATTAGTTTGAGTTTAATGGTTTTAACGAACTCAGGGGCCCTTAACTACTTCCGAGGGGTATAGGTGGGCTACACTTGCAGAAGCAAAAACTGGAAGGAAGAAATAATTATTTGGTCTTAAACAAGTTTTGGCATACTTAAGTGACAACTTTAAAAAGAAACCCAAAGCCCATCTGTCCAACTGCTGACAAGCTCTGAGAATATTGTTCAACAGTGTAAGGAACAAAGATTTTTTTTTTTCCCCCCAACTATTATAAAGTGCTACTGTATGTGTTGTCATCATTGTATGTTCCCATACAATGGCAAAACTGGTTCTCTGCATTTAACCCATTGCACCTGGGATGCACCCAGGTGGAGCAGTGGGCAGCTATTTAAGTGCCTGGGGAGCAATTGGGGTTTAGGTGTCTTGCTCAGAAACACCATGACATGTGGGGATGGCTGGGGATTTAACCTGGGAAATTCTGACCCAGAGTCGGCTGCCCTACTTCTATCCTATCTCGGCCCCACTGGACTTTGGACTGTAGTGCTTGTACTTTGTGCCATTTGTTTAGAGTGTAGTGCCTATCACAAATAACCTTGTAGTTTACCATGAAAGTAGCTTGAGTTGTGCTCTGTGGCTGTCTCCAGATGATGATGACGGTGAATACCAGTATCAGCACAAGGACAAAGACCACCAGGATACTCCAGATCTCACGTCTGCGAAGGCAATCCATGGCTTCGCTAAGTAGCACACTCAAAACAATCACCAAGACCACTGGAAAAAGATTGGAGCCTTTAGAAAAATACCCAAGTATAGGATTCAAATTTGCATCAATCACTGCATCACTGTTAAAAACTGCAATATTTGCTTTCTCTACTAGTGGGATTGGAAAACATGCCCGTGGAGGAAGCTAAAATAAAATTAGAGAGCAACAAAAAAATGATAAAAATGAAAACTTACACATGACAACCGTGGCTATGTTGACATTTTTAGAGGTGCGGCGTGTTGGTTGATCTGGGGGCCTAAAGAGCCCAATTATTGAGAATGGTTCTGGTCTGTGAACAAAGTTGGCATCTTCTTTGTACCTAGAATGAAAATACACCTTACAAATATTCATCATGGGGCTCTTAATGTATGACACCAGTATTAATATCCCCCTCTACAGAAATTTATATTTTAACTTTTTTTGTAAGTTTAATATTCATATTTTTAAAGTCTATGAAACACTAATAAATTTTACATACCTCAGTAAAAGTATACACACCGCTACAAGTGAGTATGCAAAAATGGTCCCAATTGAGCTCAGATCAACCAACGCCTTTAGGTCAAACAGGAGGACCATGAAAGCTGCAACGACATTCAAAAAATTGTTAATGTCAAAAAATGTTCAATTTGAATGCCATCTGTATTAAGTGCAGTAATGTTAGTTGTTACAAAAATCAAAATAATGTATAGTAACACTAATAATGATAACTGAAGATTCAATAAAAAGCATTTAAAACATAGGGTCACAGATTAAAAAAACACTAGATCAATTTGCACTGTATGAAATGCTTGAGAGAACAGATGTGTTTTTAGCAGGGATTTGAAGTGAGGAAGGGAGGTGGCCTGCCTGATGTTGGGGGGCAGGTTGTTCCAGAGTTTGGGGCCCATGACTGAAAAAGCCCAATCTCTGAGCTTCAGTCTTGTTTTCGGAACAGCCAAAAGCAGCTGATTGGATGGTCTCAGGGCCCGAGAGGGAGCGTAAGGTTCCAGAAGCTCAGAGAGGTAAAGGGGTACAAGGCCATTTAGGCATTTGAAGGTCAACAGAAGAATTTTATAAACTATCATCGTATGAACAGGGAGCCAGTGAAGGTAGGACAGAACTGGAGTAATATGTTCAGACCTACTCGTTCCGGTTAAAAGCCGAGCAGCAGCATTCTGGACGAGCTGAAGACGTGAGATGGAGGCCTGGCTGATCCCAGCAAACAGTGCGTTGCAATTTTCCAATCGGGTCGTGACAAAGGCGTGGACTAGTTTCTCAAGGCCAGGTCTGGACAACACTGGCTTGAGTTTAGCTACCTGTCTGAGTTGGAAGAAGCTTTTCTGCAGAACAGAGTTGATTTGATTGTCAAACTTGAAATCAGAGTCTAAAACCATCCCAAGAGTTTTACCAGACTGCTTCAGATATGGTTGAAGAGAGTCCAGGTTGACAGGATCAGTGGTGGCAGTTGAGCTAAGGCTAAAAACAATGACTTCAGTCTTGTCATTGTTAAAGCTTAAGAAATTTGAAGCCATCCAGGCCTTAATGTCGTCCAGACATTTTAAATTTAACAGCGGGTGAATGGAGCAAACACTTGCTGGTTTCACAGGCAGGTAGATCTGGCAGTCATCAGCATAGCAATGGAATGAAAGACCATGTTTCCTCAGGATGGACCCCAGTGGGAGAAAATAAAGTGAGAACAGAAGGGGTCCAAGAATCGAACCCTGTGGGACCCAGCAAGAAAGAGGTAATGAGGCGGATACATTATTACCAACCTTGACACAGAAACTCCTGCCACTCAGGTATGAGGGAACCATTCTAATGCAGCACTTGTGATCCCAACCCACAGTTCCAGCCGTGATATAAGGATACTGTGGTCAACAGTATCAAAAGCAGCAGTAAGGTCCAGGAGCACAAGTACCACAAATTGACCAGAATCGTTTGAGATCATAATGTTGTTACAAACTCTTACTAATGCTGTTTCAGTGCTGTGGAGTTGCTTAAAACCAGACTGAAAATTTTCAAAGATTATGTTCTCATTCAAAAACTTGTTTAATTGAATGAAAACTATTTTCTCCAGGATTTTGGACAGGAAGAGAAGTTTTGAGATTGGTCTGAAATTTGAGCAAGTCGAAGGGTCAAGTCCAGGTTTCTTAATTAACGGATGAACTACTGCATGTTTGAAAACGTCGGGAACCACACTTGTCACAATACTACCATTATAAGAACTTCAAATTGTGACTCCTCTGACCACAGAACAGTCTTCCATTTTGCCACACTCCATTTTAAATGACCCCTGGCCCAGTGCAAACGTCTGAGCTTGTGGAGCTTGCTTAGAAATGGCTTCCTCTTTGCACTGTAGAGTTTCAGCTGGCAACGGCGGATGGCACGGTGGATTGTGTTCATTGACAATGCTTTCTGGAAGTATTCCTGAGCCCATTCTGTTATTTCCTTGACAGTGGCATTCCTGTTTGAGGTGCAGTGATGTTTAAGGGCCCGGAGATCACGAACATCCAGTAGAGTTTTACGGCCTTGACCATTACGCACAGCGATTGTTCCAGATTCTCTGAATCTTTTGATGATGTTATGCACGGTTGATGATCTTTAACTTAAAAGTCTTTGCTATTTTACGCTGGGTGACACCATTCTGGTATTGCTGCACATTCAGCGCAACAATGGTGGAATTGGTGATCCTCTTACCATCTTGGTTTCTGAGAGACACCGACACTCTGAGAAGCTCTTTTTATACCCAATCATGTTGTCAATTGACCTAATTAGTGTTATTTGGTCTTCCAGCTGTTCGTTATATGCTCAATTTACTTTTTCCAGCCCCTTATTGCTACTTGTCCCAACTTTTTTGGGATTTGTTGACACTGAAATTTTGAATCAACATATTTTTCCTTTAAAATGTTACATTTACTCAGATTAAACTTTTGATCCGTCATCTATGTTATATTACGAATAAAATATTGACATTTGCCATCTCCACATCATTGCATTCAGTTTTTATTCACAATTTGTTTAGTGTCCCAACTTTTTTGGAATCCGGTTTGTAAACATGATAAAAGACATAATAAAAGAAAACTGTTACACCCAACAGACCTTACGTCAGTAAACCGATTACAGTTTTAAAAAATACTGTTAGATTGCACAACAGCTACGAAGCAAAAAATTCATATTGCTCTTGTATTAGTGAATAGTGAAAGTAAAATAATAAAATAGTGAATAGTAAAATATTACACAGTCCCGTGTTCTATTTAAAACTGTATTAAAACAGAGTTTATAAAAGGTTATTTAGTGCCCGAACTGCTGTCGGGTAAAAGCTATTTCCGAGCCGGTTGGTCCTTGTTTTAATAGATCTGTACAGTCTGCCTGATGGCAATAGCTCAAAGAGATGGTGACCGGGGTGGGAATCGTCCATAACAATTTTGTGAGCTCTCTGAAGACAACAAGAGCTGTGTAGGTCCTCCAAGGTGGGTAAAGAGCACCAAATGATTTTTTTCTGCCGACCTCACAGTCCTCTGTAGTTCTTTTTTGTGTGCTGCAGTGCAGCTGGAGAACCACACACAGAGTCTGTGAGTGAGGATGCTCTCTATGGTGGAATGGTAGGACACCAGCAGCCTCTGATTAATGTTGTTTTTCCTGAGAATCCTCAGGAAGTAGTCTCTGTTGTGCCTTTTTTTAGTTCATTGATGTTCACACCCAGGTTAGAGTAGGACCTCATGCCTCTACACCCATTAGCCTCAGCGCAGGCTCTCCTCAGGGCTGTGTGCTGAGTCCCTTGCTCTACATCCTCAACACCCATGACTGCACCACTGCTCACACCAATAAAACCATAGTAAAATTTGCATATGATACTACCATTCTGGGACTCGTCTCAGGAGACGACAAGACGGCCTACTGGGATGAGTTGGAACGGCTGTCAATGTGGTGCAAAGACAATAATCTACGTCTGAATACATCAAAGACGAAGGAGCTAGTCATTGATTTTAGAAAGGTGAGAAAGGACATCCAACCCATAACTATCAATGGGGACTGTGTGGAAAGGGTCACAGACTTTTGCTTCCTTGGTATTCATATCGAGGAGGACCTAACCTTTTGTCCGTGTCCCGTGACAAAGTCTTTGATCTATAAACAGGTGTGATAAGGCAAACCCAGGTCCAATAGTTTGCACATCAGTCTGTGGGGGATGATGATGTTAAAGGCAGAACTATAACCCTCAAAAAGGAGCCGGGCATAGGTTCCCTGTTGCTCCAAGTGGTTTAAGGTTGTGTGAAGGGCAGTAGCCACTGCATCCTCTGTAGACCTGCTAGTCGGATGGAAGAAGTGAAAGTATGTGATTTCTAACCAGTTTCTCAAAGCACTTCATTATTACCGGAGTTAGGGCAATTGGACTGTAATCGTTTAGGCTGGTGATCTGAGATTTCTTTGGTAGGGGGACTATGGTTGTGGATTTTAGACAGGCTGGAATGATCGCCTGTGAACGTGACCTGTTAAAGATCTCCATGAAAATCCCAGCAAGTTGATCAATGCAGTCTTTCAACACCCACCTGGTGACACCATCAGGGCCTGCAGTCTTTATTGGGTTGATAGACTTTAGCGTGCGCCTTACCACATCTTCATCCTGAGTCAGGGTAAAACCGATGTTACTGCTGACCACTGGGTGTTGTAAGATGTTTTCCTGCAGCTCCTCGAAGCACGCAAAGAAAAACGTTTAGCTCCTCTGCCAGTGTAGCGTTGCCCTCTGTTGTCCCGTGGCTGTTCTTAAAGCTTGTGATGTGCTGTATTGCCTGTCAGACTTGCATTTAGTTGTTACTTTCTAGGTGGTCAATCAATCATTCTTTTATAATCAGCCTTTGCCTTCCTGATAATAAAAATTATTCAATTTGTACTGCACTTTACAATCTCAAAGTGCTACAATATGAAATATCTAAAGAGAATAAAGGATTGACTAAAAAAGGACTAAAAAAAAATAAAAAACTAAAACAATTTGAAAAAAACTGTAGGATTAAAATGCTTATAAAAACTATAAAATATTTTGCAGGTTGGAACGTGCAGAACCGTAGAGGGCCCTGTCGCCAGACTTGAAAGTGGTGTTCCTTTCTTTAAGCAGCAGTTAGACCTCTTTGGTCATCCAGGGGTCTCGGTGGGATATACTCAAGATGCATTTGTCCACTTTGACTGTGTCATTGCAGTTTTTAATGTAACATAAGACACTGTCTGTAAACACATCCAAATCCTGCTCCAAAAGCATCCCAGTTGGTACTGATAAAACAGTCCTGCAGCTGCTGAGAGGCTCCCTCAGGCTAGGTTTTAATAGTTTTGGTTGTAATAGGAGCACTTTTCCTGATGGGGGTATAAAATGGGATTAAAAACATGGAGAAGTGGTCAGACTGACCCAGGTGTGGTAGTGGTATAGCCCTGTAGCCCTTTTTGATGTTTGTATACACCTTGTCCAGTGTATTTGCTCCTCTGGTAGTACATTTTACATGCTGGTGGAATTTGGAGAGCACTGCTTTTAGAGCCACATGAATAAAGTTCCCTGCTATGATAAGTACAACGTCAGGATACAGGCTTTGTTGTTGGCTAATGCTATCATACAAAAGTGCTAGCGCCGAGTTAGCATTAGCATCCGGTGGAATAGAAACAGCAGTTAGCATAACCACAGTAACCTCCCTCGGTAGGTAAAAAGGTCTGCATTTAACAGTCAGATTCCAAATCCGGGGAGCAGTGACTGGCAACAGTTACTGTGTTAGTACACCAGTTGTTGTGAATGTACACACAAAGTCTCCAACCTTTGGACGTACCAGAGGTACTGTTTCTATCCTGTCGCTGTACTGTACGTTCCGTTAGCTAGATTGCCGAGTCCGGAATAGCTGGATGTAGCCAGGTTTCGGTAATAAGCAGAATGCAGCCATCCTTGACGATGTAATTTGTTGCCATCTGAAGTTGCAGTTCTTCCATCTTATCAGCGAGCGATCTTGCATAAGTGAGAAAAATGTTTGGAAGCGGTGATTTATGTGGCTGTTTACGCAGCCCCGGCAGCCCCATTTCCTCTCCCTTTGCTGCCGTCACCTCCTTCCTGCTGGAATAGTAATCCACGGTGCTCCCAGCCTCCTTGCTATATCTGCCGGTATGTTATGAGAGTATAAAAACTCTGCTGTGACGTCTATTCTACACAAAGCTCCTGTTTTTAGGAGATCATGCTGACTTGTAGGTACTGTTAGCCCAACAGAAGGTGTTAAAGACAAGTGACAAATGTCCAAAAACAACAAAAAAGTACACCAAAAGTGAGAGCACTGTGCCACTGCGCCTGTGCGCGCCACCATCTTGCCATCAGGCTCAACATTTGTGTTCATTGTGCTGTGATTTCCAGCTCTCACTGGAGTGGTCCGCAGCAGAGTGTGAAATGGCTGGGATGAAAATCAGCACCTCCAAATCTGAGACCATGGTCCTCAGTCGGAAAGGGTGGATTGCTCTCTTCAGGTCGAGGGTGAAGTTCTGCCTTAAGTGGACGAGTTCAGGTATCTTAGGGTATTGTTCACAAGTGAGGGAAGAATAGAGTATTAAGTTGACAGAAGGATTGGTGCATCATCTGCAGTATTGCAGACTCTGTGCCAATCCATTGTGGTGAAGAAGGAGCAGCGAAGCAAGGAAAAGCTCTCCATTTACCAGTCGTCTACGTTTCTTCCCTCACCTATGGCCATGAACTTTGGGTAGTGATAGAAAGAATGAGATCATGGATACAGACAGTTGAAATGAGTTTCTTCCGCAGTACGGCTGGACCCATAGGGCGAGAAGTTTAATCTTCTGGGAGAGACTCAGAGTAGAACCATTGCTCCTCCACATTGAGAGGAGCCAATTGTTGTGGTCCGGGCATCTGGTAAGGATGCTTCCTGGGAATCTCCCTAGGAAGGTGCTTTGGGCATGTCTGACTGGGAGGAGACCCCGGGGAAGACCCAGGACACATTGGAAAGACTACGAGTCTCGATTGACCTGGGAATGCCTTGGAATCCTCCCAGAAGAGCTGGAATAGGTGGCTGTGGAAAGAGAAGTCTGGGCCTCCCTACTCAAGCTGCTGTTCCCACGACCCGACTTTGGAACAAGCGGAAGATAATGGGTGGATGGATGGTTCATCAGAGGTACAGCACAGGTTGACGGACTTGGAGATAAAGTTAGAGAGGCCAGACCAAGACTTGGGCAGAGGAAGGGACAGTGCAGAGGAAGGGACAGTGTGTTTATTAGTAGAAGGACGTTACAAATTCAGCTGTCACAATGAAGACAAATAAGGCCAAAGGCAGAGATACGCATTTGGTGTTGAGGCAGGGAGGTCAGAATGAGGACAGAGGATGGCGAGGGCAGAGTGATATGGAAGACAATCACTCACTGTGGCAACTTTTGAAGAGAGAAGGTCCGAAAGAAAATATTCAGTTAATACACACACAAAATATATTTGGGTTCTCAACAGATGTTTACAACCAGTTATTGTGAACTTCTGAGGTTTTCTCCTGTCTAAAAGCATAAAAAGCATGTTCTGTCAAACAATGTTGAATAACTGGATGGTCTTACCAGCTGCAGCTCCTGCAGACAGTGTGGCTAAAACTGGACTTTGTCTGGAGCTCATGTAGCGTAATGGCTTGAACAGTAGACCATCTCTGGCCATCGCAAACATCACCCGGGGCATCGGAAACATCACCCCAAGGAGACTAAAGAACCACAAAGTATATTTAATAAAAATAAAACGTTTAACCCTTTTGATTTTCTGTTTTGGCATTTCACTTTCATTGTAACCAAATAACACTGCCAAAAAGAAAGTTTTGAGTATTATTGAATAGTGAACAACCAAAAGCTTCTTCTTCAGAATAAAAAGATAAATACCTTGTTGAGAGGGCACACAGAGATCCTAGACCCACAGCATACTTTGCTGGTTCCCAGCCTATGTATTCAAAAGCTACTGGCAGTGGACTTCTGACATCAAGAAGATAATAGGGCATCATTAGTGTCAGAGCAGCTGAGACACCAAAATAGGCCAAGAAGCAGATGATCAGTGATGCCACAATCCCAAGAGGTATTGATTTCTGTGGATTCTGTACTTCCTCGCCTGGAGAAACAAAGCAGTTAGCATTGTCCTATATTGTTAATGGTTCAGAACAGATCCTGAAATGAACTGGTTTACAGTCAAACCGCATGTTATAAAAAGGATTAAAGTAATATTTTTTTAATATATTTTTTTTAATTTGAGGCATAAGATGAGAACCAACAGATGGTCATAAATGTTTTAGCTTGTCAGCACAAGTTACATACAATAGTACTAAGTATATTGTGCGTTTCAAGTGTCCAACTGAATCAGTTGTGTTCAAACTTTGACAGCAGGCTGAAATGGTAAAGTTGAAAGTATGTACTTAAAAAAAATCTAAATCAAGAATTTGAATAAATAAATGCATTTTTTCCCCATTATTAAACTATTAAAATAAACATACCCTGTTTTGAGTGAAAGGACAAAGAGCCTGTGTACTGATGGAAAATAAATCCTAAATTGCTGTATCCAAAAAAGTTCAATCTGGTCCTCTGGACATTCAACTCTTGAAACTGTGCCTGCAGTCAACCTACTTCACATATGGGGAGCAATATTATAGGCAGAAACATGGGTGTGCTATGGGGTCTCCAGTTTCTCCTATTGTTGCCAACCTGTACATGGAGGAGGTAGAAAAGAGAGCCTTGACGTCCTTTTCAGGGACACCACCAAGTCATTGGTTCAGGTATGTTGACGACACCTGGGTTAAAATTAAATCTCAGGAAGTCCAACATTTTACTGACCACATCAACTCTGTGGATAAATACATCAAGTTCACACGAGAAGATGAAAAAAATGGCAAGTTGGCTTTCTTGGACTGTGAGGTCTCAGTCTCTGATAGAGGACATTTGCAAACTGAGGTGTACCGCAAACCCACCCACACAGACCAGTATTTGCAGTTTGACTCCCATCACCCTTTCGAGCACGTTAGGAGTCATCAGGACTCTGTATCACAGAGCAGACAACATCGCCACTAGCTCAGGAGCCAGGCAGAAGGAGAAATCCCACACAAGACAGGCTCTAGAGCAATGTGGATATCCTAAATGGGCCTTCCTAAAAGCAGAGAAGAAACCCAAACAGGACTCCAGTCAGCCAACAGGTGAAAAGGAGGAACCCAGACCCATACCAGTGGTCATTCCGTATGTTGAGGGAGTATCAGAGAAACTGACAAGTTTATTTTCTAAACATAACGTCCCAGTGGCTTTTAAACCCCAAAATACATTCCGGCAAAGACTGGTTCATCCCAAAGATCCAGTCCCCCGGCACAAACAGAGTAATGTTGTGTATGCTGTTCAGTGTCAGGAGGGCTGTGATCAGTCTTATATCAGGGAAACAAAACAGCCACTGGCCAAAAGGATGGCCCAGCACAGAAGATCAACATCATCAGGCCAGGACTCTGCGGTCTACACTCATCTCCAGGCCGCCGGTCACTCTTTCAGGGATGAAGATGTGCACGTCCTGGATAGAGAGGAACGATGGTTTGAGAGAGGAGCAAAGGAGGCCATCTTTGTGAAAAGAAACCGTCCATCGTTAAACAGGGGTGGAAGCCTACGTGTTCAATTGTCCCCCTCTTACAATGCTGTGATTGCTAGTATCACTCAGCCCTCTGTGAATAGTAAACAGCCATCAGTGTGCTTATGATCCATTGTTAGGCTGATGGTCCTTCTTGAGCATGTGATCAGCTGGTTTTGGTTGTCAGCAGCAAAACTGGTTGATCCACTCTGAGACGGTGCTATTTAAGAGACTGAGCTGAATACAACACCTTAGACTGAGGAAGTCTCTCGGATGAGAGACGAAATTTTTCTACATTTTTTTTGTTGTTTTGCTTTATTTTGTTTTTTTGAATGTCCATAGGACCAGATTGAACTTTTTTGGATTTTCCTACCTGGATTATTGAGCATGCATCAGGCTAAATTGCTGTAGATCCAAAGAAAAAAACACCTTGCAAACATCAAATTAAGATAAGCATTCAAGTCCTTTAACATCAATCCAACAAATCAAAGTGTTATGCAACTGAAATTTTCTTACAGCCTAAGGGAAATAATGCATTTATCTTACAGGAAGTGGACATGAAAATGTCTGGACTGAGTCCAGTGGCTGTTTCTAGATAGCGCGTACATGACAAACTTAGGCAAGAACAACTTTTATAAACTTAACAAGGTTAAATCAGGTCCTCTGGATGAATTCTTCTTGTTGAAACGCTTCGTCTTTAATCCAATTACAGAGTTGTTATTGCTAGTATAACTCAGCCCCCTGTGAATAGCAAGTGGTCATCAGGGCACTAATGATCAATTGTTAGGCTGGTCTATCATGTGAACAGCTAGTTTTGGGTGGCAACAATAAACTGGTTGATTCACTATGAGAAGGTGCCATTTATAAGACAGTTTGTTGCAGCTTCTCAGACTGAAAAAGCCTTTTTAGACAAAAGATTAAACGTTTCAACAGAAGAATTTGTCCAGAGGACCTGACTTCACCTGGTTAGACTTACACTACATTGCCAAAAGTATTCACCAGCCTTGACTCACATGAGCTTAAGGTTGTTTTCACACCAGATAGTCCGGTAGACTCGGTTCGGTATTGGTATTCATGACCTTTTGTTTACATTTGAGCGGGTGCGTTTGTATTCACACTGCACTGTGCAGTCGAGTAAACCTGTTGAACCAACCTATTCCTCCACTCGCCTGTGGGGGCGCTGCACCAAGAACTACTGAAACAACACAAAAACCTCTGAAGACACATCTTCTTCTGTAAATAAAAATAAAAACGAAGTGGCATCAAGTTTTAGCAGTTTTAGGAGTTATATTTTGTCATTTTTCAAAAATGGACTTAGCATAAACAGAAGATGAGATAGAAGACCATGGAGAATATCGTTTTTCCACACAAGGCAGCTGACGGCTCCATATAAGGTCAGAGAAATGCGTGTTTGTTTACCCTGCGGAACGGGGCCCTGTCTGTTTACATTCACACTGCACTCGAACTGCGCTGGAGTTCTCTTCTACCGGACCGAGACCTAGGTTTTAGCCCGGGCCAGAGTTCGCCTTTTTGTTCCGTGACAGAGTTCGATGGCACATTCACACCTCCCTAAATAAACCGGACTTTCTAGGAAAACGAGCTAGAGTTTGATTAAAGCGGACTAAACATGGCTGGTGTGAATGCACTCTAATTGACATCCCACTCCTAATCCATAGGGTTCAATATGACGTTGGTCCACCCTTTACAGCTAGAACAGCTTCAACTTTTCTGGGAAGGCTGTCCACAAGGTTTAGGAGTGTATTTTTGACCATTCTTCAAGAAGCGCTTTTGTGAGGTCACATACTGATGTTGGACGAGAAGGTCTGGCTCTCAGTCTCCGCTCTAATTCATCCCAAAGGTGTTTTTTCGGGTTGAGGTCAGGACTCTGTGCAGGCCAGTCAAGTTCATCCACACCAGACTCTGCCATCCATGTCTTTATGGACCTTGCTTTGTGCACTGGTGCACAGTCATGTTGGAAGAGGAAGGGGCCAGCTCAAAACCGTTCCCACAAAGTTGGGAGCATGGAATTGTCCTAAATGTGTTGGTATGCTGAAGCAGTCAGAGTTCCTTTCACTGGAACTAAGGGGCCAAGCCCAGCTCCTGAAAAACAACCCCACACCGTAATCCCCCTTCCACTTACACTTGGCACCATGCAGTCAGACAAGTACCATTCTCCTGGCAATCGCCAAACTCAGACTCGTCCATCGGATTGCCAGAGAAGCACGATTTATCACTACAGAGAACACGCCTCCACTGCTCTAGAGTCCAGTGGCGGCGTGCTTTACACCACTGCATTGGACATTTTGCGTTGCACTTGGTGATGTATGTCTTGGATGCAGCTGCTCGACCAAAACCCATTCCATGAAGCTCTCTGCGCACTGTTCTTGAGCTAATCTCAAGGCCACATGAAGTTTGGAGGTCTGTAGTGATCAACTCTGCAGAAAGTTGGCAACCTTTTCGCACTACGAGATTCAGCAGCCGCTGACCCCGCTTCGTCAGTTTATGTGGCCTACCACTTCATGGCTGAGTTGCTGTCATTCCCAAACACTTCCATTTTCTTATAATACAGCTGACAGTTGACTGTGGAATATTTAGAAGCGAGGAAATTTCATGACTAGATTTGTTGCATAGGTGGCGTCTTATCAGTTCCACGCTGAAATGCACTGAGCTCCCGAGAGCGACCCATTCTTTCACAAATGTTTGTAAAAACACTCTGCATGCCTAGGTGCTTCATTTTATACACCTGTGGCCATGGAAGTGATTGGAACACCTGATTCTGATAACTTGGATGGGTGAGCAAATAATTTTGGCAATGTAGTGGATCTACCTGGATTATTGAACAGCATCAGGAAACGTATACAAGCCTTTATAAGGAAGGTATAAAAATAGAAAGTGGATGGTGTTTTGGATATTCTTGGCGTGTCCAGCTGGTTGATTTTTGACCTGCACCTCCTTTGCAATAAACCCTGATTTTTTGCTGTCCACATGCTAAGTCATTAAACATTCATAAAAAAGCTTATTAGTAAAAGTTATCTAAGGAATCCAGCAGATGTTGAATCTTCACTTTGTCTCAGTTTCCCAAGTCAAAACTTTTCTCAGAATTTGAACTTCATCTATGTATGTTTTTTCAAAAGATCTTCTAGACCCACACAAACACACATGGCCTGTTCTCACAGAGTGGTCAGTCAAAAGATGAAAGTGTTTAGCTGACTGTTGAAACAGATTTATGCGTTTGGTTTGAAAAGATCCTAATAAAACGTGATTAAATTGTAAATTTTGCAAACTTCAAAGTTCCTTAAAAGCCCAGTTTCTCATCATCATCAAGGAAAATCTCCCCCCCCCCCCCCCCAACACATAAAATTTAGCTAATGTTTATGAATTGTTACCCAAAAGTCTACTTCCAAAAGCTCATACTTTTGTAGAGTTGATAAAGGTAGTCTTTGTCATCTTAATCATAAAATTAGAAGATACTGAATATAATGCAGTTAAAGACCAAAAAACTTGTTTTGTACCCAACATTGCACATTTTATGTTAAGGGGTTTTCCCCGCTGTATTTTCTGTTAAACCTAAAAATTATAACAATCACTCTTAGGCATCAATTTGTATCAACCTCAGAAGCATGTGGGCAAATGAGAAAACTGCTGCAGGCAGCACAAAATCCTTCCGATAGGTGCCACTTTTTGAGAGAGACCTGCACTAAATTGTACCTGTTGTTGCGATGCAGTCAAACCCAACAAAAGCATAGAAACAGGTCGCGGCTCCTGCCAGAGTTCCTTCCCAACCGAAGGGAAAGAACCCGCCAACACCAAAGTCCACAGTTTGATTATGGGCTGCTGTGTGGTTCCTGTGAAAAGGAATACAAATTTAATCATGTCTCTCAAAGTGGATCAGTATTTTTGTAACATTTTGTGTGGGAAAAGTCTCTGCAGTTATGGCCTTGACACACTACAGAACAATTAAAAAAGTATGGCAACATAAATGAACAGATGTTTATGTACCAATATAAGGCTGAGACTGCTGAAATATATATCAGCCCATCCACATCCATCAGCACATCTAGTCAGTTTACTCAACTTCTAATGGAATAATACATTCAGCACCCTCACACCACTATACCACTTTATTTATAAAGCACTTAAAACAGCTACAAAGCCAACTAAAGTGCTGTACAGACAAAACAACAGGTAACACACAAAGCAAAATACAAAATGAGGTAAATCAGAATATAGACATACAAACGATACAGATAATGACGACAAACCAGTGTGGAGCATACAGGATCAAAACACAGATCATCTGGTGTTGAAAGTTACTGAATAGTAGTGAGTTTTTAAACGGGACTTGAAAACCCGAGAGGGAGGGGGCCTGTCTGACAAACAGAGGTAACTCGTTCCAGAGTCTTGGTCCTGCTACAGAGAAGGCCCTGTCACCTCTGCGCTTAAGACGAGTTCCTGGAACTGTGAGGAGCAACTGGTCCGCTGACCTCAGGGAGCGTGGTGGGACATACGGTTGTAGCAAATCAGAGAGATGGGGGGGGGGGGGGGGGCGACACTGTTCAGTGATTTGTAGACATACATGAGTTTTTTTAACTGGATACGAAAGTGAACCGGTAACCAGTGCAGTGAGGCCAAGGTGTAATGTGCTCTCTTTTGCCTGTACTGGTTAAAAATCGGGCTGCTGCATTCTGGACCAGTTGTAGTCGTGCAATGGAGGTCTGACTGATACCAAACAAGCGAATTGCAGTAATCAAGCCTAGATGTAATGAATGCATGTATTACTGTCTCCAGGTTATTTTTGGACAATATGGGCTTCAGTTTAGACAGCCGCCTCAGTTGGAAGAAACATGATTTAACAATCATGTTTACATGACTGTTAAGCTTCAGGGAAGGGTCCATTATCACACCCAGATTAGTGACTCTGTTTTTCTGACAGGGTTAGAGCGGAAAGGTCAATGCAGTGGTTTGCGATTGTGTTGTTGGGAGGGAACAAAATGACTTCAGACTTCCTTTCATTGAAACTCAAGAAATTTAAAGCCATCCAGTCCCTGATGTCAGCCAGGCAGTTGAGCAGCGGTTGAATAGAGCATGTACCATTGTGTCTTAGGGGGAATTAAATTTGACAGTCATCGGCATAGAAGTGGAAGGGCATGTTGTGTTTCCGGAAAATTGCACCAAGCGGCAGCAGGTATAAAGAGAATAGGAGGGGACCCAGGATGGACCCCTGCGGACCACGCCAGTGGATAAACTACCGTTTACTATATCAAGATTGGACGGACCTAGAGTTGGAAACATCTCCTTTAGTAGTCGAGGGGGGACCACATCAAAGGGGGAGCCAGAAGGTTTCAAGCTGCACATGACCTGCTCTAGAGAAGATAGAGTGATGGGTTCAAAATGGTCAAAAGGAGCTACAGATTGAGGTGGGATGGATGGGTCATGAGTTGGAGGAGAAATGAGAGCCCTGGTGGTCGCAATTTTTTCCAAAAAGAAATTTAAGAAGTTGTTGCACAGCTCAGTTGAGGCTTCCAGAGGTGCGTCACCCGGAGACATCCAAGTCTCTGTGATGCACAGAAAGTTCAAATCGTGCTCTTGAAAGTAATCCCCGGGGATAAAAGTTTTGTTGGTAACAGATCTTGCGTTGACCAAACACATCCGGATACTGTCCGAAGTGGAGCTAGCAGCAGTGGAGCTAGCAGCGGTGGACCTAGCGCGCGCTAATGGCCGCAGGTTTTCAATAACAGCCCCTCCAGGTCGGTCCGAGCTGCGCAACGGCTGACAACTCGCGTTGGTTAACTGTCCGGGCACACAGGAAGCTGGAGATGGAGACCATGACTGCCAGGTGGAGAGGAAGATGCCACGTGCAGAGCTTTCAGCTTCACCAGCTGACCAGCACGTTTTCCCCGGCGTCTGAAGCGATATCTCCGGGCAGGCAGGTGAGGAGCGCAGTGAAGGTAAGCTGGCACGTCCGCCAGCAGGGGGGGAAGGGGTCCAGAGGTACGCTGATAATGGTCCAAATAAGCGACTTCAGTGACAGAAAAACGAATATTCAAAAGTTGTTGTCTGTCATACACCAGCAGAGAGTTGATGTCACAGATGTGAAATGCAAAAAACAAAAATAATCCGAACACCATCAGCAGAGGTGGATTGTAAGCCATGTACACAGGCGCCATCTTACCAGAAGACCACTGACATACAGTATTTATCTATACTACACACACAAATTCACAAAATAATCACAGACGACGTTCCACAGAGAAAACAGTGACAGACTAAACAAACCATCATGCAAAACTGTAGAGATCTAATCTTAGCTAAAGCAGTATTCTTTCACACTGGTATGTCGTTTCTGGAATGGTACTGTTTTGATTTGCCAGAGCTTAGCTTCAAAGACTAGTCTCTTTCTCCATACTCTAATCTTCACTGTCACGGCTGATATAGTCCTATCCAGTGGCGATTTCAGCCACTTTTTGCGAGTACTCAAGTGCCCCTAAATTAACTCAGCACCGTTGAAAAAAATCAAAAAACCATCATTAGGATTTTGTAAGCTCGGTTCTCAAACCTTAAGATTTACCGAAATATTTAATACATTTTAAATAAATATGGAATAAATTATCACACACTTTAACGGGCCAGTAAAATCTATGAAATTATTTTTTCTTTACATTAGTCAGATGCTCAACATCTGTCAATCAACACAATAGGCTCATCAGCAACTGACCAATCAGCAACCTCAGTTTGTCCCAAAGTTAACCGCCCCTTACCTGCAGAAGCTCCACCCCATTTTCTTCCAACAACATTGTCAGGGCTTTGCATTACGAACACTTGGCAGTCAGAGGTTAATGGTCAAATTAAAGGTTAGCTAGTTGTGCTTTGTTCTGTTTGTCTTAAATGTAGATATATGTTGCAATTTCTGGTTGTACAAGTTTAGTCTTTGTTTGACATGATCCTTTAAAAGTCCCATTTGTGATAGAGCTCATTTATGACCATACAACTCTGAACTCGCTCGCTCTCGTCTGATCTCGGAAGCTAAGCAGGATCAGATCTGGTTAGTAAATTGAATGGGAGAACGCCTGGGAACACCAGGTGCTGTAAGTTTTTGTGCTTCTCAAACCACACCAAGGGGTGTGTTGTTCAAGCCAAGAGCTATTGTCGGTACTGGGGGCTAAGCACCTCACAAGGTCAGATCCTAGAATTGCTCTTGGTCCCATCTATTAATAGCTATTTCACAGAACTTCGAAGTTGGCTGGACTTTCCCTTCAAAACCAAAATCTGATTCTGAGCGAAGTTTTAATGTCGAAAGGCCAGTGAAGACAGACCATGAATAGCTCAGGAACTGACCCTTTTCCTCTATGTTTGGATGAACTAATAAACTGGATGAACTAATAAACTGACTCACCACATTAAAGGAACACAAAACTACTAAAACAGAAACTTACTTAATTTGCTGAGTAACATTGAGGATATCTTTTTTAGTAACGTGCCAGTTGTTGACGTCTCCTTTGATGAAACCACAGATGATGATAAAAAGCAGCACCGCCACATTAACGGCAGTAAAAATGGTATTCACGACTGAAGATTCCCTCACACCGTATGCAAGTATTCCTGAAAAATGAAGATAGATAAAATAATCTAGATAAATAGTATAGATCAATGGAATGATCGTTCTCCCCCTTTTGACTGCTCCCTTTCTGAGAAGTTACCACTGCAAGAAAATGTGCATGAAGACATGGCAATTGTTTCACGTCAGATGCCCTTTCTGAAGCAAGCATAGGAATGAACAAAATATATATTTTTTATCGTCTTAAATGTCTGTAGTACAACATTGTTTAAACACAATTAAACATAAAGTTGATATTCTCACCAGCGAGCAACATGATGAGTGCAGCAGCAAAGAAGTCTGGGTACGAGGCCAAGCCAGGAGAGTCCATCATCGTATGTTCCTCAAGGGTTTTTCCAACAACGTTATCCAGTAGGTCATCGAAAGTCCCGGTCCAAGCTTTCGCAACACTGGATGTTCCTAGGGGGTGGGGGAGTGAGTTGTAAATTTAATAAAAAGTTGTTTTTCTGACCGTTTGAACTATTATATGAAGTGTTTTTGATCACTCGGGAAGCCTGAGAGGAGGATTTGGCCCATCCCCTTCTCGCACTACCTTGAAGTTTCTGAGTTTCAAGTAAGCATGTTTTTCCTCAGATAAGATAAGTCTTCACTCCCTCCACGCAGATGGAAAGGAGTTACCGTTTTTTGGAATGCAGCTCTGAGTTTTGAGTAAACATGTTTTGTTCACTGGGAAATGCTCTCATGTGATGTAGAGAGAATAAAAGTAGAAGAAGCACTTGGACCAGGTTAGAGTCTGCAGTGAGTCTACCGATCGGGACGTCCAGCTGTGTCGGTGTTCTGGTTATACCTAGGCTGAGTTGGCTCCCCAGCCTTGTGTCACGGTGAGAGCTTGTTTATGCATTGATACTTATGATTGTACATCTGTGATTGTACCTTGCTTTGCTTTTATGCTATAATCTGTGACGGAATAATAAAGACACAATTATTCTAGCAGAACAGTATCTGAGTATTTTCTTTTTTGTCCATTATACTGATCACTCTTCCGAATCCTGGTTTTATTTAAATAAATATCCCAAAATAGGGAGTGTATATGATTTTCATCTTTTTCAACCACATACCAATAAATTGAGCCCAATGGAGACCAGTCTAACAAGACTTCCACTGATGTCTTTGAACTAAACGGTTTTACCACTAAAATGTGTAATTCTTAGAACAGACAGGAACATTTCCAGTACGATACACCGATCTACAAGCTGCTGACTGAAATAAGCTTCAACTTTCAGCTTACCTGGGTTAACTAGTTGCTTTAATCGTAAAAAAAATCTTTGACTCAGTGAATGCATTATATCCACGCAGATATAACAAGCAATAGCATGGACACATTTTCACTAAATGAGGAGTTTAGGTTGGTTATATGTACGGTCTGTAAGGTGCATAAACTGGAGCTTTAAAATAAAGCCAGGGGCAGCACCAATGGTGTTTGAGGCAATCAAAAGGAAACTGCCTATCTGCTGTTCACACAGACTTCGGCAGACAACAAATTGGATGGATTAGGATAAATCTATACATGGATTACAGAAAATATGCTACATTTTCATCCTTTGGAGGATTCTTATGCAACACGTCATTGATGTTGTGTAAATTGTTCTCGTTTCTTCTTCTTTTCCATTTACCGGTGGATTGTAAACAACGTTCAGGTGCATACCGCCGCCTACTGGGCATGAGTGTGTAACCTCATAGCCTCCATCCTCTAAATTCAGTTTTTAATATTTATATTGTGTAAATTAACACTTTTCTAACACTTATCCTTGTTTCCTCCTGTTCATAATATTTCTTAAGCTCCATATTCTCCCTGCCTCTAACTTTTTATTTCAATTTCTCCCTTTTCTTTATGAACTTCAGTACATGTTCCACACTTTGTTTCCTCACAGCTGCTGTTATTCCTCCTCCCCCATCATATACACTATCATTTAGACAAGCATGTCCTACCGTCAGTCTCCTTATTATCACATATTCTCTTCTACTTCTTTCTCTATCATTCTTAGTTTTGTATTTTGAATAATCTTCCTTTTTTGTCCTCATTCCACTTTTTCTGCCAAATTTCCATTCATTTCCCTTTAATCGTTTTACCCTCTCCTTTCCCTAACAGTATATTAACTGTTATTTCACCCTTCAAAGTTTTTTTTAGCAACTTTATCTGCTCTCTCATTTCCTTCCACCACCTCGTGTGCTGGCACCCAACTAAACTGAACATCCATACCACCCCTGTGTAACCTGAATAAACTGTGCTGAATTTCTAGAAGAAGGTATTTCCTGTTGTTTCCTTTAGACTGCAGGCTTTCTACGACAGTCTTTGAGTCTGTACATACCACCACCCTGTCCAGTCCAACCTCTGTAGGTTTAATGTCAATGTCATTATCAATGTCAATTTATTTATATAGCACATAACAAAAAAAAAGCTGGCCAAAGTGCTTTACAGTTAAGACAGATTAAAAATAAAAAATAAAAAAAGAGCAAAAATGCATCTAGTGCCACTCAAAAACATAAGTTGACAGTAAAAACAACACACAACAACAATAAAATCAGCTCAACTTGTTCTCAGACTCTGCATGGATGAAATGCCAAGGAATACAGATGAGTCTTGAGCAAAGATTTAAAAGTCTCATCAGTCTGAGCGGTCTTTAAATTCTCTGGTAAACTGTTACACAGTTTTGGAGCAGCAACCGCAAAAGCCCGATCACCTCTGGATTTAAGTTTGGATCTGGGGACATCTAAGAGGAACTGGTTGGTAGACCGGAGTGCTCTTACTGGAGTGTAGATGTTAATGAGATCACATATACATTAATATTACTGCTACCATTTCAGCTGTGAGTGTTCTTGTTTTCCACATCATTTGGTAACTTACCAATGACGTAGGACAGTAACAGGTTCCAACCTGTGACAAAGGCCCACACTTCGCCCACCGTCACGTACGTGTACAGGTAGGCCGAGCCCGTCTTGGGCACTCGAGCTCCAAACTCTGCGTAACACAACCCTGCAAAGACGGAAGCCACAGCTGCTACCAGGAAGGACAGGATGATGCTCGGACCAGCCACCTCCCTCGCCACCTCCCCTGACAGCACGTAAACTCCAGCTCCGAGGGTGCTGCCCACACCTAGACCCACGAGGTCCAGGGTGGTCAGGCATCTGCAGAACGTGGACTCTTCGCCTTCTGGCTCCAGAGGCTTCTTTCGGGTCATGGCACGATAAAGCTTTAAAACTTTCACACAGGAGACTCTGAAATCAGAGGACAGTTGTCCAACAAGTCCTTATATGGTAACTGATTAATATTTGTAAATAATAAATAAATTAAGCTATTTATTACCTGCTCGTTGTTTGTGAGCTTCTGGTTTCACTGTGTCCTGACATGCTGACAGGTAAATATTTATATAATATATATAATTATAAATGATGATGGAAACACAATAAAGAAAAGGTGACACGTCACTCTCAGGTTGCACCCTGACTCCTCACTGCAGCCGGCTGCTGGTGCACACCTGAAGTCACTTCAGATGATCAGTCCACTGAGGTGGAGGCTTCAGGATTCTTTATCTGCTGCTGGAGAATCCCCTGCAGGTTGGGAGGAAATCCTTTACTTTTTCATCCACAGATGTAATCCACTTGATGTTTGATTTCAAATGCCGTTATTTCAGTTTTTGTTTTTCAACACCATGTTTCATATAACCACATTTCTTTCCACCTCTAGGTACCTCGTCATAAAACAGCTTAATGGTTAAACAATAAAATGCCAACAGTTTCATTAACGTTTCCAAATTTGAACAAAAATAAAACAAAAATGGTTTAATTTTGAAAAATCTTTCAATTCTTTATCAGGATAATTTAAAAGAAATCCCAATAAAACATAAAATAAATAGTAAAAATAAAAACTCATAGGTCATTTATAAATCAATTAAAAAAATTAATTTCTCCACATGTTTCATGCAAATGAAAAAAACCACAACTTGAGCAAGAATATTTTTCCACTAAATTTTTCATGACAAAACTGACTGAAGCAAAACTGTTTCTAAAACAGTCAGAAGTTCTTTAGTCGTTCCACCACATGTGGTACATGTGGTGGAACGAAACTATGCACACAGGGTCCCAGTTACATCCAACAATAAAAATGTAAAAGAAAAACAATGATAACATCTAAGATATGAAATAAGAAAAACACCAACTAAAAATACACTGAGCACAAATAGCATAAAAACATTACGTCGAACAGCAGCACAAACATGAGTCTGTGTGAGCAGATGAGCACACATGAACACATCAACATGAAACAGATCAGCAGCAACATGTGATTTTTCACAGTGATTATTCTGGTTAGAGATTCATGAGTCTAACAGCCTCAGGGTAGAAGCTGTTCCTCAGTCTAGTGGTTCTACACGTAACGCTCCTCAACCTCCTGCCTGAGGGGAGCAGGGCAAAATGTGTGTGTGCTGGGTGAGTGGGGTCCTTCATGATGCAGGTGGCCCTCTTCCTGCATCTGGAGGTGTAAATGTCTGTGATGGTGGGGAGACTGACTCCAACATCTTCTGTGCAGCCTTCACCACTCTCTGCAAAGCTTTTCTTTCTGCAGCTGTGCAGCCTCCATGCCACACATTGATGCTCGAGCACAGGATACTCTCCACTGCACACCTGTAGAAGGAGGTGAGGACTGAGCTTCACAGACCAGCTCGTCTCAGCCGTCTGAGGAAGTAGAGTCTCTGATGATCTTTCTTGATCAGGCTGGTGGTGTTGTTGCTCCAGCTGAGGTTGTCATTCATGTGTACACCCAAGTACTTGTAGCTGGAGACCACTTCCACCGCAGATCCTCTTATGTTCAGGGGGGTGTAGGTGTGTTTGTTCCTTCTGAAGTCTACAATCATCTCCTTTGTCTTCTTCACATTGATGTGAAGGTTATTCTCTTCGTCGATATAAAAAAACTTTTTCTTTCAATAAAATATTTTCTGCATAAAAATATCAAAATATAAAAGTATTAAGAAAAGTAGTTAAACTAAATAAGGTAAAACACAGCATGACACAGCTGAGACTTTAAAAACACAGAAATGATCATAACTCAGCCAGTTTACAGAAACAGACACAACATTTGTGGTGGTAGTAGCTAAGAGGCCTTCAGAACACAAACTGAAGGCTCACATCTTGTCACATCTCACAGCATGCACAGGAAGAAGTCAGACATCATTAACAAAGTGTGTGTGTGGTGTAGAGGTAGGGTGGCCGACCTGGGACCAGAAAGTCGCAGGCTCAACTCCCCGTCATACCCACATGTTGCGGTGTCCTTGAGCAAGACACCAAATCCCTAACTGCTCTTGGGGCGTTCACAGAGCCGCCCAAAACAGGTCCCTCTTGAAAATGAGTCCTCATGACTCAATGAGACTACCTGTATAAATAAAGATTAAATAAACAATAAATAAATAAATAATTAAGGTTTGAGCAAAAGGACTATAACGTTGCTGTTTATTTTTGCATTTAGGAATCTGTGACCTGTTTTCAGTTACTGGACCAAAGCAGGGTGGCACGGTGGCTCAGCTGGTGGTGCTGCTGCCTCTCAGCGAGCAGGTCCCTGGTTCAAATCCCGGTCCGGGGTGTCTTTCTGGGTGGAGTTTGCATGTTCTCTCTGTGCATGCGTGGGTTTTCTCCAGGTACTCCAGTTTCCTCCCACAGACCAAAAACATGCATGTTAGACTGATTGGTAACTCTAAATTGTCTCTAGGTGAGAGTGAGAGAGTAAATGGTTGTTTGTCTCGTTTGTCTCCATGTGTCCCTGTCATGGACTGGAGACCTGTCCATGGTGTCTCCTACATCTCGCACAGTGATGGCTGGGTAGGAAAGGTGAAGCACCCATACCTGCCTCCACCCTCATTTGCTCCACTTTGGATCCTTGAGCAAGGCACCCCCATTATTTGCTTCCCTGGGCACCCAAGATAGCAGCTCTCTGCTCCACACAGAAGGCTGTGGTAGCTCAGTGGACTGTGGTTGTGTCAGGAAGGACATCCGGCGTAGTGTGAGTTAGTTCACTGTGTTGACCTCTGAAGAAGAGAACAGCTGAAAGAAGAAGACATTTTCAGAATCAGCCTGTATCTTTGATTGATGGCTTTTAGTTAAAACTGCAGGTGAAATTTATGAACTTTACTTCTGTTTCCCCTCATGCTTTGTCCATCGTCTTTACACGCTTATTCCTTTTTGGTTTGCGGCGGTCATGCCATACCATTTTATTTATAGAGCACTTAAAACAGCTACAAGGCCAACCAAAGTGCTGTACAGACAGAACAACAGACAACACACAAAGCAATATACAAAATGAAGTAAATCAGAATAAAGACATAAAAACGTTGCATATGATAAATATAACGACTAACCAGTGTGGAGCATACAGGTCCAAAACACAGATCATCTGGTGTTGAAAGCTACTGAATAGTAGTGAGTTTTTAAAAGGGATTTGAAAACTGGGAGGGAGGGGGCCTGTCTGACAAGCAGAGGTAACTCATTCCAGAGTCTTGGTCCTGCTACAGAGAAGGTCATGTCACCTCTGCGCTTAAGACGAGTTCCTGGAACTGTGAGGAGCAACTGGTCCACTGACCTCAGGGAACGTGGTGGGACATACGGTTGTAGCAGATCAGAGAGATGGCCTTGTAGCTGTTTTAAGTGCTCTATAAATAAAATGGTATGGCATGACCGCCGCAAACCAAAAAGGGATAAGCGTGTAAAGACGATGGACAAAGCATGAGGGGAAACAGAAGTAAAGTTCATAAATTTCACCTGCAGTTTTAACTAAAAGCCATCAAGGCGTGAAACTGTTCAGGGATCATTGCTACCCATAAACATATTTGGGTGTTGAGGTTAGGGAAGCTGATCCTGCAACCGTCCAATCCCAAGCTCACCTCCTCTAACCTCTGCTCCAACTCTCCCCCAGTATGATTCTGAATATGCGTTGATTTTCTTATGTTAATGTTTAAGTTGCTCAGAGTTGAGTCGGCACTTGCTAAAGTAAATCTGATGGGATGAATGATTCCACGTGTCATCAGGAGGAAGCAGGTGTCAGAAATGAACAGAGGTCTTCTTAAAAACCATCAGATGAAGGTGTCTGAAGTTCAGAATCAAACTGTTGGATGAAGATTGCTTATCATCAGACTGGATGAAGTGGAGCACTGCTGATCATCTTTGTTCTGCATTTTCAGTTCTGAATTTCTCTTCAGTTTTAAGAGCGATCATCAAATATCAAATTAACTAAATGTTCTGCTTTCTTCTGCTCACCTCGGTGGGAGGTTTTCTCCTCCTTCTTCACTTTCTTTCTTTTATTTTTCATTTTTTTGTTTTGTTTTGTTTCATTATTTTCACCTAATGCCACTTGCAAAAATAACATACCCAGCCTCACGCACAGTGACTGCTGGACATGGGCACCGGTGACCCCGGTGACCCGAAAAGGAAGAAGCCGTAACCATAATGGATGGATGGATGGGTTTTCTCTCGCCTGTAATGCCCAGGAAGTACCACAAGATGGCAACAGGAGATTTAGAAATAAAAATATACCGAAATGATTCTTTCCCCTCATTTATCAAATGATGACATAATGCTGATAAAAATATTTGTGTGAGGAAGAAATCTGTTTCAGATCAATAGCAGGAAGATGAACTGCCTGAGCTCCTGAACTGAGTCACATTTGTTTAGACAGATTTTCTTTGTCCTGACGTTTAACACCTCGAGCAAACTTACATGAAGGAGCTCTGTTCAATGCTGGATGCACTTCCTGAAGCAACAGCAGTGCTACCACATCCCACACGTGTGGAGAGGAGGGCTTCCATCTAAGGCTTGCTCAAGGGCCCACAGTGGGGCAACTGTGGGTGCTTCACTTTTCCCACCCACATTGTGTAGTAATGATCCAAGGATTTGAACTTGCAACCTCTTGAATACTGGCTCGACTTGTTTAATGTCTGCAACAGCACCCTCCACAAAATGAGCTTATCTCACTAAAATAACTTTTCTCTCTTTAGTGTAAAACCTGAGAAATTCTACCGTCCTCCTCCGTTTCTTTTTATTTGTTACGTGAAGGAGAATTTAGATTAAGAGACTCGACAAATAATTCATCTGACTAAATTTAATTTATTTTGCACATAAAAATCAACCCAGTCCCTTCTCACAGTCTCCACTACCATGTTTGCAGAAGTAGTAACAGTGATGTATGAATGGCATGGAGCCAAGTTTCTCTCTCTCTCTCTTTGGGTGTGCATGTGTGTGTGTTGCTTGTGTCGTTGTAAACGTGTTCTATCAGCTCTAACGTGGTGGTAATTGCTGCGAGTGAGCTAAAGTTGTTTCTTCACCTCATCCTGGCACAGAAGCAGAAGTCAATGCTGTTTGTCGTTGCCCCCACCCCCCACCCCCCGCCCCACATGTGCAACATAACTCAACACATCAGATAATAGAAGAGGTTACCATGGAAACCCTTCATCCAGGAACAGTG